TGTTGACTAATAGTATATATAGATAGCGAGTAATTAATTAATGTCTACTAAATTTTCTGTGTGTGTGTTTGGGTGAGGTTTTGTTTGAAAGATGTTTGAAAAAGTCATTTGAGAGGTTGGGAAGATAAGGAAATCCGTCTTACACAATTAATATAAAATGTCTTCAGAGAATGGAGAAAACAGGAGAGAAGATGGTAAACAAAATAGAGAACTTTAATATTTTCAAACCAACTGTTTCACATTGGATGCAAAATGTTGGCACATCATAAAAATATGGATGTTTAAACAACTGTAGCTTGTGCTCAGTTTATAGTGATAGAAAGTGTATTTTACTTTGGTCGAATAAATAATACTGAAATATTCAATTATAAAAAAAGGTATTAAGCTCATTTGAGGTTGATAATTATGGTATTTATAGTGATGCTGATCTGCCAGTGGTCTCTGTTGCTAGTATGTAGGCATAGGAAGAGAGGATAGTTGGGCTTATATATGAGTGTGCTTTTGCCAGAGGAATGTAATAAAAAGATTCAGGGATAGGAGATAGGACAATAAAGTTCAAGAAAAATCTGTCATAAAATCAAAGCTGATTGCAGAGGGAAGTTAAAGGAGAAAAGACTGGTTGTAATGAAGAAGTAGGGCAACACCAGTGAACTGGAAGCCTGTTGTAACAAGCAGAGTTTAAAATTGGAAGAAAAGGAATTATGCTTAGAGTGAGTGATTGATATACTGATATTGACAGTACAGCACTTTGAGATGGTAATTTAGTTATGGGGTGACTGGCATGTAAAGGAGAGTATGTACAGTTATTGGAGATCATTGTTGATAAGAATTGAGAACACAGCACTCACTGTATGCATAAGAAATAGATTTGCTTTTTCATCACAGAAAATTCAAAATTACAATTGCTAAGTAAAATAAGGATTTATTCCCTCATTTAAAGGAAAGTCTGATGTTGGCAGTACCCAGCGCTAGTGTGCCAATTCCATGAAGTCATCAGGGACTCAAGCTCTTTCTAATTTCAAGTCTACAAACTAGCACGATTACCAAGGTTGCCTTGTGGTCCAAGATATCTGCTAGAGTTTCAGTCATCCCATTTCTATTCTTGGCAGCAGGGAAGAGAAAGGGGAAGGAGTTAGTAAGGTCCTTTCCTGCTGTCATTCCCCCTTTTAAGGTCCAGAAGTCTCTCCCAACAATTTCTGGTTATATGATATTTGTCTTCGGTAATAACATGGCCGTATTTTACTTTGAGGAATACTGGGAAATATACTATTTTGGCTAGCTACATTACAGCTCCCTAATAATGTGTAGGGATCTAGTTTGTAAAGAACACGGGGAGAAAGGATGCAGGTAGACAGCTAGCAGTCTTTGCCAGAAGTATTGATTATCCATGTGAACAGCGAAAGTTTGAAGATGGTGGAAAGACAAGGAGAGACCCTGAGGTCCATGGGCAATTACAAGCATAACAATCCAATGGAAGAGAGTGGATGAGCCCTAGACCAGCGTATTTAGAAAACATTGAGAGAATACTGTAATAGTGGGATGCAAAGAGAAAACCAATCATACCTGCCAATTCTCTTTTTCAATTCTTTTACACACTAGAAGGAATGTAAGAGAATTAAAACTCATTACTTGAGAGGACTGCAAATAAAATTATTTCTTCAAGTGACATTCAGGTTTTAATTAAGACAAAGAGGAAGAAGGAATCTGAGGAGAGGTAAGGGGAGTTTGCTGATTCTGAAACAGTAGTTCCAGGGAATATGGTAGAAGGAACAGGGCTGTGTGGAGAAAATACAGTTTACAGTTGAGAAGAGTAAGGATGCAGTGAGCAGTGATTCTTAACCTTTTGCCCATCTACCCACGAGTTAAAAATAATTAAACACAAATCTCCAATAATATGTAATTATTTATAAATAACATTTCTGTATTGATGTACTAATACTATATATGTATTAGAAAAATACTATATGTGTTATAAAAGATATGTAAAAATAGGAACTTATAAAGAATGAGATACATGTATTAACAGAAATGCTGATATCTTCTTCCCCACACTCCTGCCAATCCCTGGGATCTTATAGGTCTCAAAGGCTGCAGCCTCAGTATAGCTTAGGATGGGGACTATTAGGGGAAATAGGAGCAACCTAACACAGAATTGATCCCTACTCTCAACTAAAAGCCTTCCCCTTAAAAATAAGAGCAAGAACACTTAAAATTCTTCAGAAAAAAATTTGTAACACCATAAGACATAGTAAGATTAAATTTGGAGGAAGAAAAAGCATATTATTAGTTATAGGTATTATCATGTGAGATGACATTTAATCTGTGATCTCAGTGAAATCAAATAGCCAAGACATATAAAAAGCAAAAACATATTAAGGAACCACAAATCATTAGAGAAAGAAAGGATTATTTCTTGAGTGTATTTGAGACAGATGCCAGTAACTGAGGTGGATGCATGTTATTAAAAGTTAAATTCAAAAAGGAATTTAACTGGAAAAATCATAACTGAATATCCAGTTTCTTAGAGATAAAAGAGCTTTCCAAGCTTAGAATTGATCGGGGGAAAAAATCGCTTTGGGTACATAAATATTTTAAGCTTCTGTGTTTTAAAACAACATTCAAAAATTGGAAGATGGCACAATATTTTCAGCCAATATTTATTTTCCAAAGAGCTCATGTGATGCACTTTTAATAATAAAAAAAAAATGCAACAAAAATGCTGGAAGACCAGAACAATTCACAGAGAGGAGGTGTTGGGGAGTTCAGTCACAATTTTAACAACAAAAGCTGACTAAAACAGGTAGAGAGCTTGAACAACTCAAGAGATATGACTGGTTTGAAGAGGGGAGGGGGTTCAGCCATGCTTTAAAAGGCGTGGAGTGGGGAGAGGTGATTAGAACCTGGTACTCAAATGGGTAAACGACCTGGACATGTTGTTAAATATGACTGGTTAAAAGAAAGAGGAAAAGGCAAAATTTAGTCACACTTGTGATTAAAGCAATGGATAATAAGGGCTTTTTTTGCTTCTCAGATTTTTTTTTTGTCAGAGTGATATCCAGTGCTGGTTACTGTGCAGTGAAAATGAAAGCATCATGCTTTTTACACTGTAAGTCAGTGTAAATCTCTACAGTACTTTTAGAACTCCATTTTTTTCCTCTCATTAATACCTAGATGGATCAAACCCTTAAATTTGATATAGAAATAAATGTGTTAATTAATTAAGCTTAAAGCTCTATAACATGAGATAGCTGTAAAAGCCTAAGCCTTCAAAAGTAGTTCCCTCAGATACAGCTATTGAAATTAAAAATACATGCAGAATACATAACTGTATTATTTGTATATTAATACATCTTTAAAGAAGGTATGATTGGGTTGACATAATTGAATTGGAAATCCTGAGAGTAGCTAACATACCAAGCCATGTTCTAAAGCTGCAGTAAATAAAGCAATGATAGACCAGTAGACTAACAAATAACAAAGCAAGATAGACAATATAAAGAATTAGGCCCTTTTATCCCATGAAAACTTAATGTATGCTAATGAATGATAAAAGTGGCATTTAAATCAGTGGGGCAGAATGCGCTATTCTTTCATTCATGTATTTATCTATTCAGAAAATGTTTATCGAAGGCCAGGCACTATCCCAGATGCCAGGGATACATCAAACCAAGTAGACTACAATCGCCATTTTCATGGAGCTTAAGTTGGAGTTGTAGTAGAATCAGAGGATAAAAAAATTGAAGATGATTACCTGCTGAGGAGAAAATAAAGCAGGGAAGGGGGATAGTGTTCACAAGATTCCATTTGGTGGGGAAACATGATCTCCCTCCTTTCTACTGTACAAAGAACTGCCACACGGCAATTTGTTAAAAAGGAAACAACCCAACAGAAAATTTGGCAGATTTTTTCCTTTTATTTTGATAGCTATTCCTAATTCATAAAGGAGGATATAGAGCTATCCAGTAAATCTCTAATACCTTTGAACAGTGAAAATGCAAAATCAGACAGTGAGGTAACAGTTCTGAGATTGATAAGTTTAATATCAATTTTTAATTTAATATCAATTTTTTGTGAGTTTAGGAGAAATGGGTGCTTGCATGTGTTATAGATATAACTGCATAGTGGTAGTTCGTTTTGGAAGACAGTTTTAAGAGTAGCCCTTAAAGTGAGAAAGGTACTACATATACTATGAGCCAGCAATTCTCATTCTTGGTATCTCCGTCAGGGAACTCTTGAATGTGTGCTCAAGAAGGTCTGGTAGCGCAACATGGTTTGTAACGATGAAAATCTGAGAACTACCCAAATGTGCTTTAGTTTGTTGTGGCCATAGTGTGGAGCACTGTAGTGCTACGCAGATCTCCTGAGCATATTGTTGAATGTAAGAGCTAAATTATAGGCAGTATATGTACATACCAGTGGTAACAACAATTACCATCAAACTTTACAGCTCTTATCACTGGGAAAGCTATTTAGGATTGTGGTAGCAGAGAGGTTTTTAGCTTCAGCCTTATCTCTAATATTTCTATTTTTTTAAAGAGATGGTATACTTATTTTTATTTGTATATATAAAAATGACCAAAAAAATTCTCCCTGTTAGCCTCAGCTTGAGTGGCATTTCCCCTTGTCCCAGCCCATATTGTGTATTTTATCAGTATTACTTATCTCGCCCTTGGCAAGTGCTCTTGTACACGTGGTTGTTTTTCTGAATGCCCTCACTTACCTATTAAATTGCAGGTCCCTTTGACAGCTTAGGACCTAGTCCTTTTATTTTTTAAACATAATGCCAAAAGAGAAGGCCTTACTTCATAGAAACTTATCATCATTCATCTTGCATTCTTTGGATAATATTTTTGTGTTCTTTATATTTGTGAATAAGAGCCATAGTAAATCAAAGTTTTATTTTATTTCTCAATTCACTTAAAACTTGAATTATTAATTAGACAAAACATATTTTAAACATTCAGTCCTGGAAATTGTTCAAATCGTATTTTTCTTTGTAGGTCGTTTGTATGCGATGCAAACGGGAATGAAGATTGACAGTAAAACTCCTGAATGTCGTAAATTTTTATCAAAGCTAATGGATCAGTTAGAAGCTGTAAGTTGAACACTGAAAATTTATTTTCTGCTTAATGTTTAAAATGCCATTTTATTTCATTTGTGTGTGTGTTGTCATTTTAGTTCTTCCTGTTGGCAGCAATCAGCAATGTCATAGCTGAGGAAAAATGAGACACATTTTTTTTTCATTTACATCATACTGCTTAGGGAGTTGTAAGTAGGTATACGTCGGTTTCAGTATCTTTACATATACATTATATTTTGTTCCAGGTTATTGTAGATGACCTTTGAGTCATTCTTTTGTAAGTGACAAACCCTTTCTAACCTTCCTTCATGCAGTCACACCGATGATTGATTTGGGAATTCTTAAATGGCTCTTGTAATAATGAAATCGGGGACTTCCTTGGTGGTCCAGTGGTTAAGACTTCGCATTTCCACTGCAGGGGGTGCATGTTCGATCCCTGGTTGGGGAACTGCAATCCCACATGCTGTGAGGCACAGGCAAAAAAAAGAAAGAAACGGGCTATTTATTTAGTGAAAAGGACCATGAAGGAAGTTGCCTATTGTTTCTTCCTCCTACTCTTGGTCCCATAACAAGATACTCGTATGGTCTAGGCATTTTCCTCTGCTAGCAGAAATGTGGGAGGTGACCAATAAGTCATCTTGAACTGTGATAGAACTTCACAGGTTATGTAGAAGCACGAATCCAGGGAAAATTGAAGGATTTGATTGGGTGTCAGTGCATCAGGAAGGCATTATTAAACCATAGTAACCTTACTTAGTAAGCAGGGCTCCACCCTGTGCCTCCCATGCCCAGCCATCCCAGTTTCTTTTTTAACAATGTCAAGGTTTACTTCTCATTAATGCATCTCCTCCAAGGCAGTTATATTCATAGCTGTGGCTTACTTTTTATTTGCTTATTTAGTTATGTGACCTGCTCAAGAGAATTAGAAACCTAAATATTTATTTGATCAGTTGCATTATTTTGTTTAGAGAAACAAAATTCAGACATATTAAAAATCAATGCACTTATACCAGTCGGCCCAGAACTTTTTTTAAAAGTTGAAAGTTATTCAGATCAAAGCCTACTTGTATTAAGCAGCCATGGGCAATAGTGTTCTCTCTAACTTTGTATGGGTGCCTGGCCTTCTGACCCAGAATCCTGTCATCTGCTACTATTAACCATCCAAGGTAGCCTGGTGGCATCACTGATGACAACTCAGCTGCCCTTGGAGCCTGTCTGGCCTTCTACTTCTAATACTGCTTCTGTGGATGCAGGAAGAATTTGAGTACTCTTCTTTTGGAGGGTGGGGTTAGGAGGTGGGAGGAAGAATGTGTCTGACACGTAGCAATACATTTGTACAATACAGTCTCTTACAGACATTTTATATAGAATATATCTCTTTATTAATTTTACAGCTTAACAATAATAGCTAAAATAACAATAGCTTATGGATAAGACAAAACTCAAACTGTCTTTATAATATGCAAAATGTAAAATCACATTTATAAAGAGACTTACCAGGAATTTATTATTATCTACATTAAATAACAAGTTCATTCCATGGTGAGAACATATCTGCTTGTGCTATAATGTTTATATTTATAGTTGGAACACTTCAAGTATATTATGTTTTTGCTGCCAGTTTTTTATGCTGAAGGTGAGATGAAATGACATGCTCCCACTAAATTTTTCTAGAAATAAATTGCCTCTACAATTAAAGCATTTCGCAGTGTGGATACAGTAAACCAGTGTTATATGTGGGGCTTTTTTTCTGTTTTTGTTCAGGATAAGCATGCTCAGATGTCCTTAAATTCCAGTATTCAAACTCTTCTGGGCCTTAATTATGAGAATATGTACTTTGCTGATTTTATGAAAAATCCTCTCGCTTTTTCTAAATTTAATTTGTTACTTCATAATGTTCTTTGAAAAAAGCAATTTTTAAACAGTAGTGTGGTGCTCAGATCTAATATTCCAGAAGGTCATTTTACTCCAATATGACAGTCTGAGTAAAATGTAGGAATTTAGTTTGTTGTTTTTAAAACACTTTAAATTATTGTATGTGTAGGAAAGGGATGTACTGACTGGAAATTTACATGGTTGTAAATTGTGTTGATTTGAGGTATATATTTGTCTAAATTTTTAAAACTTCCGTAATCCTATTCTAAGTTTGTTTTCTTACACGTTACTTAGAATTAGATCTCTAATGCAGTGTGCTCTGAGAGATACTTTTTTAGGATATAATGATCCTACTCATTGTATTTTTCTGTATTTGATAGAAGAAATTGAAATAGGAATAAATTAAAGATTTAAATTATGTATGGTTAGGAAAGAATTTCTTAATCCCATTTTTAGGATACTTGTTAGTACATTTGAAATATTTGTCTGATGCTTTACATAGATAGTTGGATGGTTTTTTTTCTTGATTATTTTGATATTTAGAGCTAAATTAAACGTTCACGTTATCATAAGTGTCTTTCTTCAAAATTTTGTGAACGTTGGATTTGATTATTGGGAATTTTTATACTTAAGTATACACTTCTGTGAGCCCAGAATCATAAGTTCTGTATCTCATTTTATTTTAGCTTAAGAAACAGTTGGGTGATAATGAAGCTGTTACTCAAGAAATAGTTGGTTGTGCCCATTTGGAGAATTATGCTTTGAAAATGTTTTTGTATGCAGATAATGAAGATCGTGCTGGGCGATTTCACAAGTAAGTAAAGATAGATAAAATTAAATTTAGTTACTGTATAACCAGAATTTATCCAGTTTTCTCTTGATTACTCTCAGACTTCCTGATTAACGATTTAGATTTTTTTTTTTTTGAATCTCAGAATGAGTTTGGGTTACAAGAGTGATCCTGGCTTTTTAGAGAAAATGGCTAAACGAAGAATACCCAGGGCAGATTCATTTTCTTCATAAATATACCCTAACTAGCCATTTAGTAAGATCTGTGTTGATTTTAGCCAAAAACAGCCTGGTCCAATGATACTGATTTTAAAAATTCCCACCCCTACCGATTCAAATGATTTGTCATTATTATAATAAGACTTAAATACAAAGAAATACACATGGCTTGATATGGATTCAGATAGTACTGTCATTACATTTTCTAAAATCAGACGCATACTATGAAACCTTGTTGTAGCATATTCACCTGTTATATGTGTTGTAACTTCCTCCTAATAACAGATTACAGAAGGAGCTCCATTGTGTTCTTGAAATCTGATTTTATTTAAAACAATTTCAGAGTGCTTTTATAAACATTGGAAGCTTTTGTCTTGTAGCTACAAGACTAATTCTTACATTTTTTCATTTGAATTAGATGAACTTTTCTTTTCTCTTCCAGAAACATGATCAAGTCCTTCTATACTGCAAGTCTTTTAATAGATGTCATAACAGTGTTTGGAGAACTCACTGATGAAGTGAGTGTACATTCTTTATTGTCTTATTAGCTGGAGATCAGTATTGTTGCTTTTTATTAGTTTTATTATTGCATTGTTTAGTTAGAGCAGCATGTCCATCAGAAATGTAGTATAAGCAAAATGTGTAATTTTAAATTGTCTACTAGCCACATTTTAAAAAGTGAAAACAAAAGATGGAATTATTTTTAATGATAAATGTTATTTTTTGTAGTAAGTTCTTTAAATCCAGCATGTATTTTATACTTTAGTGAGTACATAGCTACTGTATTGGTCTCTGAACCCCAGGTTCAGAGTTTGATTTTATTAAGTGTTTAAATATTACTGATCCTGGATGCTGTTAAATTTCTGTACTGTTATTTGGTAAACATTACTGGAGGCAGAGACTTTTTAGTACTGCTTTTTTCCTATTTTGTTTCTAGCCAGAAATATTATTGTTAAAGAGTTGTCTCTATTGTAAAATACATATAGAACTTGATATTTTACAAGATACTTCCTATCCATTTTATCAGTTTGTTTCTCATAACCACTCTAAGATAAGTAGAGCACATATTCATTTTATATATGAGCAAACTGAGGCTAAGTGACAAACTTGTTGCCGTGAGTTCAGTGTTGTTTTCACTGTAGCAGGCTTTACCATTGACCTGGAAGGAGAGATGTTAATCTAGAAAGAACAAAAGAGAGAGAGAGAGAGGAAGGAAGGAAGGGAGGGAGGGAAGGAGGGAAGGAGGAAGGGAGGAGAAAAGAGAGTTACAAATGAGACTGATAGAGGCATGTCATATTAGTGATTTGAGATCTATGAAGAACATTGCTTTCTATGAAATGATTTTTTCAAAATGGTGAGCAGCTCAGTGTATCATTCCAAACAAAACAAAGTACAATCTATCTATGCGATATTTTACATGTTCGTAAAACAGTACATCAAAACTGTGCAATAAATGCTTTGTTTATATGTAAAATGTAGTTAAGCTCGAGGCCTGACGATCATAAGCTGAGTTTTTGAGTTGGCAGAGATGTGCAGGACATTTCAAAGTTGTGCCAAATGAGGGACACTTTTTTATTGTGTGTGACTGTCCCTTTTCTTTCAAAACATCAAGCATCCTGTCTCTTGCCCACACAGCATTCCCCAGTCAGATGACTAGAAACCACCAACATATATTTCCAAACACCCGCGAGGGTATGGGGCAATGCCCATTGAGAGCCACTGCTGTTAACTTTTCTTGAAATAGAGCAACATCAGAGAAAACTGAGGCCTGGAGTGTGAAAACCACAAATGCTTCTCACTTTTTTGCATTTTAGAGGCCCTGTGGATCCACTGTTTAGCTCCCTTTCTACTCCTGTCTCCTGTTACTACTGATCTGGATTTTTTTTCCTGTTTTACTAGTATGGGGCTCTATACTAAACAGGGCACACAGAGGACATAGAGGTGATTTAAGCATGATATTATGGAAAGCTGTAGATAGGTAGTAGGGTTTTGGCGAGTACCAGGTGGCTGAAGGAGAATAATGAGACCAGATTAGAAAAGTAAGTCATAAGCCAGATCAGACAGATGATGAAAGGCCTGGCATCTTCAATTAGGGGATTTATATTTATTATATTTATTGAATAAAGAATTCTACTTTGGGGTGCTTGGTATGATAAGACTCTATAGAATGAACTGGGGTAGGAAAGAACTACAAGTCATTTGGCAAAAGAACTAGTTAATGATTACTGTGGAACTTCGTACAAAGTGGGTTGTCGTTGACCTGAGGAGAAATAATATGTTTAGACTTAAATTTTAAAGTGTGAGGTGCAGGTGTAGCATACAAAAATAAATCACCACAAGACTCTTAGAAATAAAAAGACAAGAAATATGCAAAATAGAGATAAAAGTTCAAGTTAGGAGATTAGACAAACCCTCAGGTAAGAAGATAGTTTTGAAAGAGAGAGAAAATGGTCAGATAAACATCCTGATAAACACCTGTATTTAAAAGACTAGAGGAAGAAGTGAATAAAGAAACACAAGTAGAGAAGTAGATAGAAATGTAAGATATCAGAAGAGAAGGTCATGGTAAAGCACAGTAGCAGATCAGTTTGCCAGATACTTCTGAGATGGCTTTTCTTGCCTCTCCTACTTCTTACTTAGAGGAGCTGCTTTTGCCCATGTATCTCAGAAGCAAGCACACAGTTCTTTGAAGTTATAACTGCTAACAGTGGGGAACCCAGATAAAAGGTAAAGTAATAGATACAGGAAAAAGAACAAAATGTCCAGAAGTCTTAAGTGAGTAATGTAGGTTTTGTTTTGTTTTTGTTTTACTTAAGGGACACATAAATACCTCCACACATAATTAGCATGTAATTCATCTGCATTTCAGAAGGAAAAAAAATCTAAGTTTACATACAGGTATCCTTAACAAAGAACAGCTTTCTTAGTTATTTGAATATAGTAGCTAAGGCAGGGACTCTTAATGGGACAAATGAGAGGGCTTCAAAAGGAGTTGGGGGAGAGATGCTTAGATACTGAGGATACTAAAGACTACATGTAGCCCAAGAGTGAAAGGGACATTTTTCCAAAATGTTTACACTCTTTTCTTTCCCTGTCTAATCACCCAACCTGCTACCTAAGTTTTTCTGCCTTGCATTGGCATTAAAGTAGGAAATAACATCTGTGTTGGTGGTTAAAGGATCCAGAGAGCAGGAGGGGTCTGAAATGGTATGGAAAAAAGAAATTAGGCATTGTAAGGCCAGCATGGAAAGGACGTCCCTATAATTATTTGATTGGGCTGAGGTTTATTCTTTGGGCCTTTATGTAAATCCTGCATTTTAAATTAGCAAATGTATGTACACACATTTAGTATGTAATTATATGTGGGTGCTCTTCACTAACTTACATATGCTTGTTATAACATGCAAAGTTTATACATCCAGTGAAAGTTGTATATATCAAAAGTTATGGGCTTCCCTGGTGGCACAGTGGTTGAGAGTCCGCCTGCCGATGCAGGGAACATGGGTTCGTGCCCCGGTCCGGGAAGATCCCACGTGCTGCAGAGCGGCTGGGCCCGTGAGCCATGGCCGCTGAGCCTGTGCGTCCGGAGCCTGTGCTCCGCAACGGGAGAGGCCACAACAGGGAGAGGCCCGCGTACCGCAAAAAAATAAAAAAGTTATAATTTGTTTGGCATACAATACTGACATTTCTCATATCCATTATTATATAGTGATCTTATCCTTATATGACTAGTGAACTGGTTTTTGGCCATGAACTAAGGTTGACTAAATAAAGGCAGCCGACAAGGAAAGTGAAATACTGGCAAGACTGTTCATACAGCAATAACATAATCCCCCAGCCAGCCAGTTTGATCAGCCTAGTTTCAAATTCTATTTTCCCTTACTTTTAATGTTGGTTTTTGTTCCATCATTTTCCATTTCTAGAAGTGGCATATTCATCATTATCACTGAGATACAGATTTTTCAAAATAATGATTTAAAATGTCATAACTTTAAATAATGCTCCACTTGAGTGGAATAGGGAGGAATACGCTCTAGCTGTGACTTTCGCAGCTCCTACCAAAACAGATAAGCAGAGTATCATCGGCATCAACCCTCTCTGGTAGGTCCTCATTGTTGTCTGAGGAAATCTAAGGCTTGTATTTATTTACTTGTGATTTAAGCACTCTGTGCCTAAAATAAGACACAAACTAGCAGAACATTTCTTATTTCACAATAACTATTAAAAATATGACATGTTAAAAAAAAAAAAAAAAATATGACATGTTTTAAAAGCTGGGTATAACTGGTTACTCAAAGCATTGTAACTCATTCCTCCTTTCCACTTTCACTTTAGTTTCATCCTATACTTTGAAAACACTAGCAGAGACAAAGACAGGAAACAGAAAGGTGGGAAAAGAATAAGTTTAAGGATTTCAGGTAGGCAGATTTTGTTTTTTGTTTTTGTTTTTTTTTTTTGCGGTAGGCGGGCCTCTCACTGCTGTGGTCTCTCCCGTTGCGGAGCACAGGCTCCGGACGCGCAGGCTCAGCGGCCGTGGCTCACGGGCCCAGCCGCTCCGTGGCATGTGGGATCCTCCCGGACCGGGGCACTAACGCTTGTCTCCTGCATCGGCAGGCGGACTCTCAACCACTGCGCCACCAGGGAAGCCCCCAGATTTTGTTTTTTAATATATACTCCTGTAGGTATATTTCAGGAATTGCTGTTTCTTATTTGTTCATTTATAAAGGAAATGTGGTGGTGTTATTACCTGCATAATATCCCATAGCTTTTTAATAAAGCTGGAACTTTCTTCAAAAAGAGTTGTTTGCCTTGCTTCTCAAAGAATGCTGCTTGAGAAACATTAAAGACTACAATAACAGAAAATGAGGAAGGGGAAGGCATTATAATTATCTTGTAGTTTTTATTTGTGTTTTTTTTTTTTTTTTTTTTTGCGGTACGCGGGCCTCTCACTGTTGTGGCCTCTCCCGTTGTGGAGCACAGGCTCCGGACGCGCAGGCTCAGCGGCCATGGCTCACGGGCCCAGCCGCTCCGCGGCATGTGGGACCTTCCCGGACCGGGGCACGAACCCGTGTGCCCCTGCATCGGCAGGCAGACTGTCAACCACTGCGCCACCAGGGAAGCCCTTTATTTGTGTATTTTAAAATTATCTTTTAATTTTATCATCTTTATAATCAAGATAATGGGGGGTTTTTAATTATATTTTTTAAAGTTTAAAAAATGGTATGGTTTTTTCCTGTCAGTTCTGAAAATTTACTTAAAAGAATAGCAACAGTGGTTGTCAGAGCCAAGCCTAAACTCCAAGCCAAGAGGTCATTTTACCTCTTAGGACTTGGTTTTTCTTCTATAAAATGGGAAGCCTGGTCAAGCAGATCTCTGAGATCCTGTGCAGCTCTACCAGTCTATGATTATGTGTTCCAAACATGCAAGAAGAGATAGGAAAAGGAGAATAAAAAGCAAAGATGAAAAAGCAGACAAAAAAAGAAAAAGAGAGAAGCAAAAATAGTTTTAGATTAGAAGC